ACAGCCTTATTTAATGGACTGATTAGGACCAAAATAAGTCACTCACATCATTTTTCAACTCCAGAAAAACCGGTATGCCACAATAATGGGTTAGATTTGAGTTAATAAATGTTATGGATGCAATGCAGTTAGTTACTTACTTATACTTCAGTGTCCTTTAAGCAGTGCTAAGTAGAAAACCCACTTGTTAGCAGCATTTGCCAAACAGGAGGGAAAGCCCTGTGGAATTCAAATTAAGTTCTCCTAAACTGTGTGTGTAGCATTGATCTTAAGGCAAACCGCAACACCATGGTCTGAAGCTAATTGCTTAGAGAATAAGTTCCATGTAACTTGGTAACAGCTTACAGCTTTCTAGTCGTCGGTTAGGCAGAATTTAGAAAGCAGGTCATTGCCACACAGCATGTGGCAGTAACCCAGTCAGAAAGACGTTTAGAAACCCCATTCGATTACTCTGATAGCTTCACTGTAATGTGTCATTAGTGATAACATGCTCCTGGATGCTAGTGCTGTGTTAGCAGCCAGAGTACCTGAAGAACTGGCCTTCAGTCTTTTGCGAGTTAGGCTGTCAGCGCTGGAGGTATATGGAATTGGGAAGATAAAGTTCAGGCCACCTGGCAGTGGTCGTTGTGCTGTGGAAGGTATATAGAAATTGCCATGTCATTTGCCATCCTGTCCAGCAGCTGACCTCTCCCAGTGCCTATTATCCTGTGCAGAAAGTTGCAGAAGACCTGTGACAATTATGGACTAACCAGGCTATTGGGGAATGTTCTTCCTAGTATTAGAAATGCAGTGTTGGACATGTGGCCTGAAATACAAGGACTATCCTTTATAAACACTCACCGAGCCTGGTATCAAGTATCCTGCAAGTCCGGTCTTTAGACAGAAGTGCCCCAACAGGGTGTTCAAATCAAGAGTCTCGACTTGTTGCTTATGTAACCCTGGGTGCGACACTACATGCGCCCTCACCTGAATAATGGGATCCTGGGGTACCCGGTAGCCAGTAGCCCTGCCCAGCCCCCCTGGGAAGCTGCTGCAGTGCCCGCCGAGCAAAGAGCCTCCCCTTACAATCAAGCACCCTCGCAGACAATTCTCAAACTATTTACAAGATTTAATTATTTACAACATAACAAATAATCATTAAATAAGCACATGGATATACCGACTAATAAACCCTCAAGAACTTATTTAGGGCTCTCTCAGGGACTCTCCGAGGGACCACTGTGCTGAGACGCTGAATCCGGTCTCCAGCCTGTCCCTCACCCCCTCTCTCTCTCTTGCCCCCCCCCCCCGGAAAAACTCCTCCCCCCCCCCCGGGAAAACCTGCTCCCCCTCTTATCCAAGCCTCTCAGCCAATCCCAGCTCAGGGCCTTTCCCAGGCTTTTGCTAATGGCTCTATTTCAAAACTTTGCTGGGGTTACATCACCCCTCCCACTTCCAACAGGGCTGCTTCCAAAACAGCTTCACTTGCCCCTAGAGCCCACAGTGTCTCCTCTGGGACAAACTCTGTCTCTCTGCCAGGCAGCCCTTCCCATTCTGTTCAGGTGGGTCCATTTTTTAAAGGCTGCTACACTTAATTATGTTGGTTTTGTCTGCATCCAACTATGGATCTTGAGGCCTTCATGACATTCTGGTTTACAAAACGAACCCACCTTTTGGCTGAAAATGATACACCAAAGGCAAAGCCTGTCTAGCCTTCTGTGAAGGACCTTTGTTTCCTCATCCTTCTTGATTCACAGGCAGATATTTCAAGCAGAAGTGCTTCTAACCAGATGTGTGGATCTGGATGATCTCAGTGTAGTAGTAGGCTCCATAGCCAAATATAGGTGCATCTGTTCTGGTTGGATTTCCAGTTTCACAACAAAGAGTTGGGAGGGTGTTTAGGACATACCCATGGGCTTGAGGCTTGCCCTTCTGCCATCGTTCCTGTTTCTCAGAGTTTGCCCTTCCTGAAGAAACACCGAGGGCCCTACTTGGGTTGGTAGCTATGTGTAGCTCTCACATAAGCAGGTCCCACTCTGGCACAGCTGCACCAGGGAACCAAGGAGCGTGTGCAGAGGCAAACTCTGTATGCAAAGCACCCTGCGGCACTCTGAAATCAGAGTGATGGAGGGGTTAAAACCAAGCAAGCGACTTCCCGATTCAGCTAGAATGCCTGCTGCTCCAACGGTGTACAGGAAGGCAGTGATTATTCCTATTATCATCATCAGTGTCTGCTCTGCAAATAGTGCCTTGCAACTGCTTTCTCTCTCAGAAATTACCACTTGCGCAATTTTTGCCTGTAACCACGATGGTTGTTTCCAAGAAATGTCAGGGCAAATCAAACTGTTTAAACATGTGCTTATGGAAACCCTTTTTTTAGATCAGCAGCTTTATTTTTCCAGTCAGCCTGGCAGCATGCCAGTAGCAACCCCTCTTTCC